TTTGTGAAAACTCGCCATTCATTAAGAAGTATAATTATCAAGTATTAAAAAAATAGTTAGAGCGCAAGGATATGAAAAATTCGGTATTTCGGAACTATACAACAATAAGGTACAGCATTGCTATTAAAACTTCCAATGAGGTACACTTGTAAGAGTTGGGACAATGCCGGATTTGTTGAAGGTTGGTACGGGTACATAACAGGTATACGTAATTTTAAAAGAAACAACATTAGTAATGGAATCCTGTGCGAGTGTCACTCTTTGTGCCAAAAAGAGAAATAAGCAGAAATTACGATTTGTATTAGCGCTGTACAAAAAATTGGACTTACGTTGAATAATTTTTTAAATAATATTCATCTACAATAAGAACTGAAAATGCCAAAATTTGGCGAAATTAAATGAAAACCACTAAGGAAAGTTCAAAATTCGGGCGGAACCGACTAATGATACCCTACACCACCATGCGTATTTTTTAGAGCCTACGGGAATATTTTGGGAATTTATGTAAAGTAGATCATACCAACTATGACTTCGATAAGGATTATATTAGAAAATATTTATTGGAGCAATCGATATACTTAAGTTCGGCCGGGCCAAACTTTTAATACCCTCCACCTTTGGGTAAAGGAAACATTAGAAGAAATTTGACAACAACCATTAAAATGTCGAATATTGGGAGGTATCGTTATATGGGGGCTATACAAAATCGTGGACCAACTCATGCAATGTTTCGCCAACGGAGCTAGAACCTATTATGACCTACAAATACCAATTTTCAGACAAATCAGTGAAAAAATGTGGCAAAAATCATCAAAATACCGAATATCGGGAGGTACCGTTATATGGGGTCTATACCAAAACATGGACCTATAATTACAATGACTCGCCACACGAACTAGGACCCATTATGATCTACAACTACCAATTTTCAGAGAAATTCTTGAAAGAATGTGTCAAAAGTCATCACAATACCGAATGTTGGGAGGTACCATTATATGGGGACTAAACCAAAATGTGGACTCATACATACAATGTTTCGCCACACGAACTAGAACCCATTACGACCCACAAATACCAATTTTTAGACAAATCCGTGAAAAAATGTGGCAAAAATAATCAAAATATCGAATATCGAGAGGTACCTTTATATGGGGGCTATACCACAACGTGGACTTATACATGCAATGTTTTGCCACACGTACAGGGACCCGTTATGACCTACAAATAGCAATTTTCGGACAAATCCGTGAAAAAATGTGGCATAAATCATCAAAATACCGAATATCGGTAGGTACCGTTATATGGGGATAATATCAGAACGTGGACCGATATATCTCATTTTCAATACCAACCATCCTAGACACAATATCAATTGCTCTGCTAAATTTTGGCGCTCTACGTCAAATAATGTGGGCTGTATCGTGATTTCAACAGACAGACAGACGGACAGACAGACGGACATCGTTAAATCGACTTAGAATTTTATGCTGATTATGAATATATATACTTTATGGGGTCTAAGACGAATATTTAAGGATGTTACAAACGGAATGACAAAGTTAATATACCCTCCTTTCCAAGGTGGAGGGTATAAAAATCTATTCAATTTGGGCTGATATATATGCAATATAGTGAGCAATATTCGTAAACTCTGATGAAGATCTATATCGAAGCTATAGAAAAACCTGAACCAACCTCAATAAAATTTGGCAGAGATATTTTCGAGTAGTATCTGATGTCCAGTGCCAAATATCATTGGTGTGGTGTGCATATTACGCATGTGAAGGACATAGCTATAGTTATATCCCAACCGATTTTCTCCGAATTTGATGAACTTGCTTCGAGACTAAATTTGGTTGGATGTACCAAAATTCATTATATTTGGACTGAAATTGATCATTTGGTGCACAATTAACCCGAAATCGGTCGAAGATGTATATGGATAGGTCCCATCGAAATCTGAACCGATTTTGAAAAAAATTGTCAGAGGTATATCTGAGTTGTATGTGGTACCAAATATGATTGATGTCGAATGCATATTACGAATGTGAGTCACTTAAACACCAAATCGGATGAAACCTATATAGGGGAGCTATATCCAAATCTGAACCGATCTTGTCAAAAGTTGATACATTCATTTCAAAGCTGTATATATATGAACCGATTTACACCAAATTGGAAGTACTGGTTTATATTATAAATTCAGTCCTAAATGCCAAAATTCAGTCCATTTGGGCTGATATTAGCCATTTGGTGCACAATAAACCCGATATCGGATATAGATATACATGGGAGCTATATCCTAATCTGAACCGAACTCGATAAAATTTAACAAAGGTATTTTCGAGCCGTGTCTGATGACCGGCAACAAATATTATTCTTCTGTAGAGCATATTACGCATGTGAGGGACTTAAACCCCCAAATCAGATAAAACATATATATGGGAGCTATAGCTATATCTGAACCAAGAATACATGGACGGACGGACAGACGGACTGACATGCATACATCGACTCAGAAAGTAATTCTATGAAGATTCTCAAAAGTAACCATGGACCTATCTCGCTTTCTTCTCCATGTTACAAACAAATACCCAAAACATAATATCCTTACCACTATGTGGTGTAGGGTGTAATGAAGTGTAAAGGGAGATTTTGACTCGGATCGCAAACGATTTAATTTCACAGTAAACAAATTAAAAAGTAGTAAATTTTGGTCAAGCCGAAATTTGAATACCTTCCACCATTTTCAAAAATAATTGATAGAATGAATAATTCCGTTCAAAATGCTGTTATACGAGTATGGGAGCTATAAGGGGGCCGTCATAGGCTGAAGTACCCATTATGAACCTCACATACGAATACCTGAACGTACATATACAATGTTCTGTCATAGACTGTAGTTACGCACTACTAACTTCAAATACGAAATTTTGAAACAATTCCGGTGAACAATGTATCTAAAATCATCTAAATACCGAATATAGGAAGGTACCGATAAATTGGAGCCATACGAAGACCTGGTCCTGTATAGACAATTTTCTGTCGCAGTCTGTAGTACCCGTTAGGAACTTCAAATACGAAATTTGGAATAATGAATGAAAGTCGCAAAAACCATCAAAACACCGAATCCTCCTTATATTCGGTGTTTTGATGGTTTTTGTGACAGTTATATGGGAGTTATGCGAAAACCTATATAGCTCATTTTCAATGCCAAAATTCCTGCAGACCAAACACACATTTGAGTAACATTTTATAAACCTACTTCAATTCGTTCGGAAGATAAAGTGATTTCTAGGGATGGACAGACAGGCAGACGGACGGTTATCGTTAAATCGACATTGAATTTTATGCTGATATATGATATGATTTATGACATATACAGGGTGAGATAAAAAACTGCAACAAAGCCAAAGGCCATAATTTTTACACTTTTTTTTAATTTATTGTCGGAAATTAGCATCAAATTTTAAAATAAGTTTAGATTTTTTCGAATTGGTCACCATTGGCACGAATTATGGCCTTCAAACGGCCAATAAACCGGTCACACGCTCCTCGAATGTTGCTCTGCGGTATTTTGGCCCATTCCCGGCGAAGCCCTTGCTTGAGGTTATCGATACTCTGGTATTTTTTAGTGCCAACCTTGTTTTTCAAAATACTCCAGACTCAATAGTCCAACGGATTGGTATCCGGAGATTTTGGTGACCATTGTGCGCTGGAAATAAAGCGAGAAAGGTCATTTTATAACCATTCTTGGGTGGCGCGTGCTGAGTGCGATGGTGCTGAGTTCTGTTGGAATGTCCAAGGTCTGTGGCCAAAATGTTTGCGTGCCCAAGGCTTTAATATACCCTCCAGAATATTTTCGCAATAATATTCGGCATTTTTCGCGATAATATTCGTCATTTATTCTGATGCCACTGTCAAGTAATACGATCGGAGAGCAACCATCGGCTGTTATGGCCGCCATCCACACCATCACCCTGGCCGGCACTTGAGTTCTGGTGGCCAACCGAAGGTGCACATCTTCACCTGACCTCTTTGGCAAGTAAACACGATCATTTTGTTTGTTTACAAACTGCTGGACAACGAATGTTTTCTCATCGGAGAAAACCAAATTCGGCAGCGAAGCAACTCTTTTGGCCAAGCGAAGCAACTCTTTAGCTCTTTTGAGTCTATTTTCTTTCTGTTGCGGTGTAAGTTCTTGCACTTTTTGGAAATCAATGGCCTTACTCAGAGCTCATTTCTAAATATTATGTTAAGCTCACGAACCATTTTCAGCCACTGCGACGCGGATTTCGATCAAGTCGCTTCTTTACTTTTCAAACCATTTCTGCTGATGTTGCTGTTTTTTTCCGTCCACATCCTTGACGTCGGGTTACGCTACCAGTAACACGGTAACGAGCGATGGTACGATACACAAAAGATTTATTCAAATTTAAATGCTGGAGTGCTCTAATGATAGCCACTTGTGGTTTTCCAGCCAAATATAAAGAAATCAAACTATCACGCTTGAATTCCATCACGAATAACTGTTTTCTGGAATATTCTCACCAAAATGCTTTTGTACCCTTGTAAACAATCACTTGTCATTGTCATTGGATTATTTTTAACAGCTGTTGGACGAGTGGCTAGAAATGACAGCAGTCTGAAGATGGTTGCAGTTTTTTCATCTCACCCTGTACATAGTGTAGAGTATCACAATAGAAATAGTCGTCCTTTTCATACTTAATGCTCATACTTTGTTTTCAAATTAGTAATAAAATACTAAAATATCTTTTTTCCATTTCATTTCAGCATGTGTGTACCTTTCAAAACAATAAACACTCACTAAGAGCGTTTTCGAATATGACGAGTATAGTGAAAACAAAGCGGAAATAAAGTGTCTTCTGAAACAATCAAAACGAAAATACAAATTTTTAATAAAGAATAAACAAAACATAAAGAGAAAACAAACACTTAAATCATAAACAATTTATTTACAAAAAAAAGTACTGAAAAATGATGTGATGACTAATAACGAAAAATGTTATTAAAAATTAATATTTAAAACAAAAGGCACTAAAATGTGTTGAAGAAAGTTTCATAAAAAAAGAGTGATACGTAAAAAAATAAAAAGTGAAAAATAATTTTCAAACAAATCTCTTAGCAAGAATATTCATCAAAGTGGCCGCCCCGAAAAAATGTTGACACATTACAGCTGTTTTCCGGCCATGCCATGCCTGGCCGTTGTGGTACATCAATAAGGCTGCTATCGGTAGTAATGTAAACTCTTCCACATCGCTGCTTTCTATTTAAACATTTTTGTGAAGAAATTATTACATGTTTGAAACATAAATCTAATTCAAGAAGAGTGTTGGTTATTCGTAGTTTGTGTGTGTTTCGAGCAGAGCCATCATAATTTAAAAAAGTGTCCTTAGTTTGTGATAATTAAAAACAAAATAAAGTAACAGAAAATATGGCTCCTACGAATAGAAGACTTCCAGTGACATTGTTACAAATCATCCTGCTGCTGGTGGGGTATGGAGTACAGGAGACCAACTCAATGAAAGGTGAGTACAAACCTTCAAATAAGACATTTGAAACAAAATGTAAAGCGTTTAAATGATCAGCATATTTTCCAACCCAGAACATGTATGAAGTGGCCATTACAACATGTCCACACAACTCTTGATGACTTTTTCATGGAAACATCATACAAATATTCGTCATACGTCAAATTGCCACATTGAGGCATTCAGCGTAGAAATGTTTTCAAAAATTTCTCAAATAAATTCGTGGAATTGAAAATATCATCACATTTCCATTTGAGTCATTTTTAAATTAGTTTTCCAATCTATCGTATCAAAGCGATGAAACTGTTTTGTCTTTTTATTTCTCATTAGCAATTAATTGGATAGAGGACAGAATATTGTGAAAGGTCGCAATTTTCTAAGAAAATTTCAACAAAAAAAAAACAATTTGAAAAAGAAAAAAATGGGAAGTGTTCACCACATAGTTTTCAAAATCAAATGAAATACTTTCTGGGAATTACGTGGCAAAATAGATTGGATCATGACAGAGTACATAAGGTAACCTTTTGCAAACATATATATCAAAAAAAAAGTAAAAAAGCTGTAAGTTCGGCCGGGCCGAATATTGAATACCCTCCACCATTTGGACCGAATTTGGCAATTCTCAAAAACAATAAAATCCGTTTTAACTTCTTTCAAAATCTTAAAAATACCGAATGTAGCTATTATATTAGGGTTTATACGAGGACATGAACCGGCGTAGGTAACATTTGTCATAAGCCATTACAAGATTCAAATGCGAAACTTAAAAAAAATCGGTTCTAATATTGATAAAATCAAAATACCGATTATCGGGAGGTACAGTTATATGGGGGCTATACAGACAATTTTCTGTCGTAGGCTGTAGTATCTATTACGAACTTTAGATGTCAAATTTGAATCAATTCTGGTGAAAAATGTCCTTAAAATCATTAAAATACCGAATATTGGGAGGTGCCTTTATGTGGGGGCTTTACGAAGAGGTGAACCTGCACAGACAATTTTCTGTCTTAGGCCGTAGTATCCCTTACGAACTTTAATTACCAAATTTGAAACAATTCCGGTGAATAAATTCGCTAAAATCATCAAAATACCGAATATTGGGAGGTACCGTTATATGGGGGCTCTTGTATACATTATGAACTTCAAATACCAAATTTGAAACAATTCCGGTGAAGAAATTCGCTAAAATCATCAAATTACCGAATATAGGGAGGTACAGTTATATGAGAGCTATACCAAGACGTGGACCTGCACAGACAAATTTCTGTCTTAGGCTGTAGTATCCATTACGAACTTTAAATACCAAATTTGAAAATACCGAATATCGGGAGGTACAGTTATATGGTACAAAACGTGGACCTACATGGCCCATTGTCAATACCAATAGTCCTGCAGACATAACATACATTTGAGTAAAATTTTATCAATCTACTTTAATTCGTTCGGAAGCTAGATTGATTTGCACAGACCGACAGACGGACGGGCATCATTAAATCGACATAGAATTTTATGCTGATCAAGAATATATATACTTTGTGGGGTCTAAAATGTGTATTTCGAGGTGTTACAAACGGAATGACAAACTTAATATATATGATGGAGGGTATAAAAAGACCTAATATAAACAAGTATAACGAATCTAAAATTTTAAAGGTGGACTTTTCGCTGGAGAAATATCGGGCACATGTATATATATTTTAAACATATTTTGGGGTTAAAGCCTTATTTTATGGGAGTTTATGCAAAATACTCCTACAAAGCATATTCTACAGCAAATGTCGCTATAAGTCATCAAAAGGAGTCTTCAAATCCATTATATATAATTTTTTTTCATCAATTCTGCCAAAATAAAATTCTCAGTTCTTTGATAAATTTTTTCAACAACATACAATTTTGTTTAAGGCAGAAAATGTCAAAAGAAGAAATATTCTACACAAACATTTTTAATCATTTTCAGAATAAACCATATATGTAGGTGGAATTATTTTTAAGAAAATTAGTTTCGAATTGTATATATTACAAGTGAAAATGATGTGTTTTTTCTGTTAATCCTATTATAAGTAAAAATCTCCCTCAATACTTAATTTTTTTGGTGATGGTATCAAAAAAAAAAAAAAAAAATATATTCTACATCAAATTTCCATGTGGACCTCTGAACTAAAGAAATTTGTATACCTTAAATATACCATAGAAAAATATCCACAACTTCAGATTAGACAAAACCCTTTATGGAAATGCAAAAGGGATTTGATAGCACTCGGTTGATAGATCGAAACCCCAAATTAGTTAAATTTAATATAGAACTTGGGATTACTTCAAAAATCATTAGTTTCAAAAATGAGCAATGTCGGTCCACTTTTTGCTGTAGTCTTTATATACCTCGATTTTAAGTATTTTTTGGGTTTTATTTTTCATACATTTTTTTTAATTTTTTTGTATAGATATTAAATGTGGTTATATTCTTCATTCTAACATGAATTAATATAAAAATATAAAAAAGTGAAAATTGAATATGGAAATGGATATGGCTATGGCTATATAATAACTTATTCATGCTTTTCCGTCCAAATAATTCACAAACACATTTATATGTATTTATTTTTATACCCTACAACACGATGTGTTGGGGTATTATAAGTTTGATTGGGCCAGAATTTATGTAACACCTCGAAATATTGGTTTCCCATATAGGAAAGAATATATGGATCTTCCTAGCTCGCCGAGCTGAGTCGATCTAGCTATGTATGTCCGTCCGTCCGTCCGTCCGTCCGTCCGTCCGTCTGTCCATGTTAATTTGTAATCACGCTACAGGTCGCAATTATGGCCCGATCCTTACGAAAGGTGGGGTTAGGGTCAGAATAGAAGCCTATTTCTTTTGGAGATGATCGCCAAATGTTAAGGGGTTGAAATGGACCAAATACTGAAAAAATGTCGGATTTTGCAGTTGCTACACAGGTCGCAATTATAGACCAATCGACGCGGAATTTCGCATGTAGCTAGAGTTTAGGGCGAGGAAGAAGCCTACCAATTTGGATGGTCATCGGATAATATTTCGCGGATAAAATAGACCATATCTTTTGTGTTGAAAAAATTCAAAATTTTTCATTAAACCGCGAATATTTTAAGTCCCGAAGAAATCACAAAGCCATGACAAGGTTACTTCTCATCTTTACATTTATGTTTACATCCAACAAATCGGATATATAGCAAAATATGTGCGACATATATGTTTATCAAAGAAGATATGCTTGAAAAATCTCGTATGTGTCGAGAACGGCTGAACTGATTTCGACAGTTCTCATTAATTCAGAATGGCCTCTTGGCAGGAAAGAAAAAACGTCAAAAAAATCGCATAAAAATATCTCTCTAAAGATGAAAATATTGATTTTGTAAAATTTTCTCATATTTTTTCAATTTTGTCATATTTTTGGCATATTTTCATTTTGAATTAAACATTTGGTAATATTTCTAAAGCTAACAAAACTAAGTAGTTAGGATATCAGGATATCATATACAGATCGCATTTATGGCCCGGTCCTTACGAAATTTTCCATGGGGATAAGATGAGGGACAGAAAAGAAGCCTACTCTTTTTGGAGATAATCGCCACATATTTAGGGGTTGAAATGGACCAAAAAACTGCAAAATTGTCAGCAGGTCGTAATTATCGCCCGATCCTCACGCACATTTGAATGGGGGTTACCGGACATTGCAAACGCCAAGCAGTTTTGGATGGCCATTCAAAAATATTCATTGTGTGAAATAGTTTGCCAACTTTTGTAAAATACGAAAATGTCCATTCCAGTGACTTTTTGGAGATTTCACAAATACAGGAAATACGCACTTCTGACTATTTCGTTAACGCTGATTTCGTTGAAGAATATCAAATGTCTGTATCTCATATAGATGCGTTTTAGTCTTTCGAGTATCTCGCCTATATAAACTGTATCGTTTATTATAGTGTTGTAGGGTATTTAACGGTCGGCCCCGCTCGACTGTAGCCTTTGCTTACTTGTTGTAAAATACAATATCTTCTTAATTTTACAAATTTAACGTTTAATCGAAATAAGACAGCAACAAACAACTAAACATGACAACTCATTGTACCGCCCAGACAAACAAACAAAAAACATTTCAATTGAAAACCATCTGACCATAAGCCATTTCTTCTGCAGAATATTGACAAATGGCCAAGAAATAATTAAGCGAACGTAGAAAAACTAAACAACAACTTTTTAGACTTTGTGCTATAGTTTTACAAAAAACTTAAAACAGCAAACCCTGAGGAAAATCTTTACAGAACAGAAAAAATTAATGCAACCAACTAAAATATCTTTGCCAAGTAAAAAGTGAAAATAACCAACAAACGAAGATCTCGCTCACATGTGTGAAAATTGAAATTGTCTGTCTGGGACAACGAAACGAAAAAAGAATCAACTCAAATGGTACAATAACAAACAGAAACATACACCGCTGGGTGAATCATCCCGTTCTTGACGAAATGATCGTCAAAAAACAATACACAAAACACACATTAAGCCAAAAAGTGACGTCACGCACCCATGAGTGTGAAAATAGTTGAACTAGAAGAAGTGCCGGGCATGAAAAAAAGAACTAATGGACATTTATACAAAACACTGCTCTAAAATTATCGTAAACATTACGTATTCATACTAAATTAAATTGCACACACAAAAACAACGACTAAAATGAAATCAGGGGCGTGGTAAAATTAGGATCTGATTTAATGTAGTTCTTACAAAGCTTGCAATTAGCTAGCCAGAAAAATCACATTTTTATACCCTCCACCAAAAAAGGTATGGAGGGTATATTAGGTTCGTCATTCCGTTTGTAACTCATCGAAATAATTATTTTAGACCCAACAAAGTATATATATTCTTGATCAGCGTAAAATTCTAAGACGATTTAGCCCTGTCCGTCCGTCTGTCCGTCTGTTTTAATCACGCTACAGTCTAAACGAATTAAGATAGGAAGCTA